ACATTCTGACCTGTGAATTTGTTATTCACACCTTCACTATTCACCACTTTTCCTCCAAATCGATTCCCTCTTTCAAGCGTTCAGCAATTTTCTAGATAGTTCAAAGGGTCAGAGCGGAACCGAATAAGGCCACCGTAAGACACCTCCTAGAATGTTTCTGGCACTAATGACTTTGGAGAGGGCATTTAAAGGACTCCTTGAAATAGGATTGAGCGTAACTCGAAATGTCGCTACTTGGAAACGTTCACCCACCCGGAGTTATGCCGATATAGGCAAAAGTCCTCATTTACATTGTTCCCCGAAGTTATACCCAAAAAACTCTCTAGTATCCCCTCCAGATTTATTAGCGCCATCTTCTTTCAAGCGCTCCTCTCTCATATACAGTTTACAGGGTGCGATCATGGCAACCGTCTGCGTTTGGGAAACTTCTTTGGTTTTCCACAATTCTGCATAGTTGTTGGTGTATTCGAGTCCTACATTATTCTCTGCTTCCCAACTCAGGAACCACTTCCAAAAAATGTTGAAAAAAGTATGGTGGGTCTCCTGGAACCTCACCTCTTGTGTTCCTGAAAAGACCTCTACCCTGCATTTTTGGACTTGGACTAGGAGGACCATGCTATTTTTCGTACTAATTGGTCTCTTACTTTGATCTCTGACCTGGTTCGAGGTCCAAATTCGATTTTCGGCTAACGACAGGCTTTTTTTCTTAACTCGGCATTCCTGTACTGAAAGATTACTCTTTGTAGGATTTGAATGCGCACTTCAGCCATGCGCTCGGTGACGATCGAGTCTTTTGGTGAGACGCGAGACGAGCGCCGAGTGGTTTTAATTCGGATCACCAACGGTGAGACTTCAGAAACTTGCGGATAACTGAACAAATTGGGATATAAATGGAGAAAAGCATTATCTTCCGAACAGAAATCAGAGATGATAAACTTTTAGGGAACGGAATGCGTGTAGAGTTACTGAATCTGGGAGCTAGCGTTCGATCGATCGTCGTTCCAGACCGTGAAGGGGTGATGACAGACGTCGCTCTCGGTTTCGACACTGTTAAAGGTAAGTCAAAGGAGTAAAAACTAGGGGTCTTCCGCTTACCAGCAAAGTGTTTGGCAATGCAGCACAGTGGCTACAAGCGCGAGCGATCCCTTACGGCTGCTAGTATGTCCTCTCAAAATATCGTGTCAAGACCCTGAGCGAGCGCATGCAACTTCTTCGATCTCTTCGTGATGGCTGCTTACGTTTTCTATTAGGTTGACCGGAAAGTTTCCCGCCATTGAATTGGTGAGGAATCCAACGGCCAAGCTTTGCGACTTTACCAATCTTCTCCAGCCCAGATTCAACAGTTGATTGGGCATGGCCGAGCATCGCTGCAAGTTCCCTGGTAGTGGCGTACGGATCCTCTTCCACGGTGGATTGCAGCAACT